ACGAAAGCTTCTTCTATTCCGTCCACAACCATTTGAACCATTTAATGGTGACCAAATATAATATGTAGCGGACTAATGGAGTAATCAGCGTTTTTGAAATCAAACGATGATACGTAGAAAATATCAGCTGAAACAAGTAGGTTCCTAAGATTATGCAATAATGCTCGAATTAAATATCTAGATTGGAATTCTTAAACTCATTCTTTATAGGCAAATCTATCATATATATTTTTGTCTATATAATGTATGCCTCACAAAGGAATAACTAATGTCATGTCTTGAATATATTTCTTTGTTCATTCCTTTAAAACAGAAATATTTTCAGCTCTTCGCTCATAGCTGTTATACAGTATTTGGTGCTTTCAAACATGGCGTCCGCTGGTCGATTACACGTAAAATAACGCTGTGTTGCCCGCCGACAAATAGAATCGTGAAAGTTACTGCATATGTTGCTTGAACATTGGTAAATTTCACAACCTTGAACGACTAATAGAACTTCATTACGCTTATTAAAGAAGCAATATTTCGTTGTGCGTCACTTAGATTAGTAGGATATTATCAGGAGTCCTCCTAATTGATTGATCACTGGCTGGTAATCGATGTCGTATGTGTCAAGTCCTTCTTACTGCAGATCGAATGCTATCGACCAAGTTGCACAGAGGTTATCTTTCAATGTTCGTTATTGCTAGTTATCACTAAACGTCAAAGCCAGGAATTACTGGTATATCATCCATCTACATAAAACCTCACATAATAGAAGGTTGTTTTTAATGCACTTGTTTTTCATAAATATAAGTCGTCAAGGACGCGATTTCATTCAGTAGTCTGAGAGTCAATAATATTTTAATCAAATAAACTGTACAGATAGTCTGAAAGCAGCTGAGAAATCGAAATAGCTCAGACAGCTATTGTTCATAAACTACATCGAGACATTTAAATCCTTAGATTTTTAACTGTAATTTCCGTTGCATATTCTAGCGGTCACCGTTTTGTAAAATTCCCGTATGCAAACAAAATCTATACAAAATGGGCAAATGTAATAACGTATTTTCATCACTCCTATCAGACTAAAATACGAAAAATTTGTTTAGCATAAAATCGGCCAAAACTTACGGCCAATCAGACTGTAAAAGTGTTACATCCGCGCTTGTAAATTCTGAAAAAAGAAACATCGATTCTTATCGAGCCCTTTATTATCCTGCAGGCCTTGAATGGAGTGATACTTTTGGTTTGTTGAAATGGAAGTCGTAAAATATCCGTACTGACTTTTCCCATCATAGCAACTGGCAATATGATGTTTAGTAATTATGAAATACACAATTCGTCTGGAGATAAAACAATGTACGTTTTATGTAAATAGACAAGAGTTATACAGAATGAGCACATTTTCAGTGTCGAATTATGCGATCCCGATCAATTTTTAATGCATCCGTTAGTTCCGAACTGCCCTAAGTGTTATATGCTGAATAACACTTTAAAAGAAAGCAATAAATATTTTTATGCCTAGGTAATATTTGAAAACAGTAATTCTTGACGTAATGTATATAGGGTCCCACCATGTATACCCATGCAGTTGTTCCTATTGACTCCTTTAGATGTACATTTTGTTAGTCTTTTCGATTCCATTCGAGTTGGTAATATTTGTATTTTATTACAGTAAAAGTTATATGAACCTACTGTTTTATATGTGCTTCAGGATGCCTGTCTGCATAAAGCAGTGCTTGAAATTAATTCATCCACCGCGATCGTATTTAGCCTCTTATTACCATCGTCACATAAATAACGTTAGCCTAGGTCATATTCCTGCCTAGATTGACTTTTTGTTTTCACAGCATCTTTGTATAAATGAAGTGGAGTCCGAGAAGCTGGGTTCAACGGTGGAAAGACCAACTTTGATCTGAACTTAGCTAGAAAAACTGCGCAAACGACAGATATCTGATAAATGAACTAAGTAGCTGACTCAGTTGACGAGCATCTCAAACTACTCAATATCTGATTCAATGCACTAAATGAAGCCAGTAAAGCAAGGACATGGACATGCTGACATAGTTTTAATTCTTTGGAAATTTGTCATCGTATCAACTCTTCGGACTGATCTGCTTGATGGATAATTCCATCGTGATTATAGTAAATATCATATCATCACGTTGAGCCCACCACTTTTGCAGCCCATTGAGAGGATGGGCTCCAGAGGTTTGATAAACACACACACACATATTGATTACCATCTCCCGTTAGGATTAGTTATAATTTCGGAAACAGTGGTCTCTTAATATTTGAATATTTACCTCGCTACTTCTGTCAATGCCACTAACCAACCTTATGATTGACAATGCGATAGCTTCTGGCATCCGGAAACCGTAATGATCTGCGACAACTGCATTGATTAACATTGCAAAGTGTAGGAACGAACAACTGTCAATCAGACTGAATTTATGTAGTAGAATGTCTAGACTACCGCAGATTAGGCATCACCGAAGTCCTAAAGCCGTAAAGTAACAAAAACAATGGCGAGAAATTCAGTTTTTTCCATAGAAAATCGTTACAAGTAGTGGTAACACATTGCATATTGATTATTGTACATTGAAATTTGAGGTTGGACGTTATGCCAACAGCATTCCAACATTTTTGAATATTGTAGTTTCACCCATTGTTAATTTCTTTATTGCTTTGTTTCGGTGAATCAAATTCTTATCCATTTATATTTGATTGCTTTGTTGGCAACTTACACATGTTTAAAATTACCATGTATTAAAATATGTACCACCAGTATTTCCTAATATAGTGTACACATGAGGAAACTGTACCAAAGCCCCTAAAATTTCTCCTTAATTTTGGTGAAGGTTACTTGTCTTCAGGGATTTCCCTCAAATTCCAGGAACTTTGAGGTGTGGACAACTTCTAATAGGAATAGAATTCTAATTTACGACAGTGATCCTTCTTACTTAGTGAACCGATTCATGAAATAATTCACATAGCATGAAAATTCGAAGTTTTCGCATATATTTTTGTAGCAATTTTAATAAAATTTATGTTATTATTCAATGGCGTACTTAATATCATGTATGGCATTCCAAGCCTACAAAAATAAAAAAGGGCAAATCTTGATAAAATTTAGACAACATTACCCAAGCAACGCTAATGCTAATAAAGACGACATCGTAGAAAGTCACTTCTTGCCTAGGATAAGGAAATGATTGGACGTTTCACCCAAATATCTAATATGAGGTGGAAAGTCTCCAAACTCTCCCGTTGTATCTGAAAAACGTAAGGAAAAGGCTTGTTGGTGAATGTTAATATTTACATTATTCTCACTTCTTTGATAACCCTTGTTCAATCTGTCCCTTATTTGATATTCGAAACTTTGATTTGTGCTGTCTACCGCTTTAAAAAGCTGTTTTTCTGTGACAGTTGTTGATGTGATTTTTTATTTGATTGAACCTACGCAACAATTGTCACAATAACTTGCTCTTACTTCTCCTACATTTGTAGAATAAACGTTTATTGAGGATTCACTTGTTTTCCGTGTCAAGTAACGTGAAATTATTTGACAACTCTGAGCTGATTATGTGCGCCAGAATGTATCTGATTAATGTCTCAAGGTTGTAGTATCATAGGATCATGGTGCATTACCATGGGACTATGCTTCAAGTATTTGATGTTAGTTAGAAAAATCGTATTTTTATTACGAGTCACTTTATCTTTATGACCTGATATCTCTCAACTAAAGTAATATTTTAGTTCTTCCAAAATATCTATATTTCGAATTTTATACCTTGAGGTTTACTGGTCAAAATCAGCAAACTATTCATTACCTATAATCTGCATCTTGATAGTAAGACAGCGTTCTTAGTTATGGTAAGGTTTGACCTTCGTTTTGATCTTTTTGAGACCAAAGAGCAAAACAAATCAGGCTGTAATAATTAGGATTGTCAAAGAATTCCTAAAGAACTAAGATAAATATGAAGTCTTGTTTTGGACGATTCGCAGAGAGTGCTGTTGCCAATAATTTTGGTGGAGAGTTCCCCAATATATTGATTCTGTATATTAAGAAGTGGAGATGAATTTTTATGTGAGCTCTTTCTTCTATTATGATCATATATATTCTTAAGTGCGGTTTAATACTGAAACGTATTGGTGGTTTATTGTGATGAAGACTGGTACGAGTGTTATGATAAGTCATGGTATCCACTGCTGCACTGCACAAGCTGGAACTTAAAAGCCTGTAGGTGAACTAAGGGGCTCTCATATTTAAGTTGCTCTTCCTTGATTACGCTCCAAGAGAATAATATTCTTGTTAAAATAAAGGAATACTATACAAAACAGATTTTCTTTACCTTAGTTGTTGATTATTTTCTGTATTATAGACCAAATAGTATAAATTTGGTACTTTTTACTGGTAGCTTTTTCTTAGCAATCCAGAACTGCAAACAAGTCGGTAACAATGTATTAAGGGACCAAGTGGAACTAAATAGTTACATTTTTAGACTAACATGGTTCTTCGTATGCTTGAAGTATCATAAAATAAGGCACAACCTATTAAATGAGAAGTGCAAATAGATGCTAATATTCAAGGTTGAACTGTTTGACTATAGATTACGAAATGATAGTTAAAAATGGTTTTAAACGTTAGTTAATTTATTACAAATTAAATCACTAAATGCATTCATACCTTTTATTTTAGTTATGAGAATCCTCTTGAATTCAACTTATCATATTAAAGGTTATTACACCACTGTTCATGCTTATGTCATAATGAAATTTGGTAGTTTGAACCGATAAACCGCTGAGAGTTACCTAACTTAACTCAGTATTTACCGCAAATTTATTGAGCAATAGTTAACAATGTTTCTGTCAAATATATCCAAGTGATTGAATTTTATAATATTTCATTCCTATAGATTTTCAAAAATATGATAATTCTGCTCACTGTCTGGGTAAAAGAATTCATAGGGTTTTCAACATAACCAATTAGTTAAGTTACGTATGTTATTGTTGAAATGTCTGCCTCAACTGAAGAAAATCATTGTCTAAAAAATTTACGAAAGTGCTCAAATGATCAATCATTTCACTTCTCTGAAGGAAATTTATCTAATTCAAATGATATAATCAATTCACTTGACCAAATCCAATGGACAAATTTAACGTCATTAGATCTATCATCAAACAAACTCCGTGATATTACACTTTTAACTTATGCTGATAAATTAGAAATTTTGAATCTGTCGAATAACTTCTTAAATAACGTCTCTTCAGTGATCGGTTGCAAAAGTCTAATTAGTTTGGATATCTCAAAGAATGATATACATGAACTACCAGAACTAAACAGGTTACCATTTTTAGAAAAATTAAATGCATCCCATAATCCATTAGCGAGTATTTCCGGTAAGTTGATGTTACCTGTATTTAATTTTTTTCAGAAAATGGTTATACTAACGGTCACATTAACCTATAATATTAATAATGTTACAATAAATTTAAGAAACTGTGAAATAAACTGCATATTTGACTGATTTATTGAAAGTTATTGTAATGAAAACCGAAACATTTTTATAGACAAAACACGTGGCTAAAAGATGTATTTGCTAATTTAATAACGAAATTCTTCATCTTCATCTAGGACTTGAAGTATAATCCTGTTAAATGATGAGGGTTACCATCAGTAAATTTGAAACCAGTTCGCAAAATGTAATTGTAAGCATACAGTTTTGGAGATCGTTGAATTGCATTGAAATCATAAGCCGATCTGAGTGAGATCAGCATTCAAGATATGGGATTCAACACTTTCTTTTTTCCTACTACTTGGTTGTGTTTAAACTGTAATTTCATATTTGTGGCATATTGGTGTCTGGCAGTTAACTCATATTAAGCAATTAGTTCCCCTGATTAATCTCGATAGTGCAATAAGAAGACGAAGATTACCAGAACTATGTGACATATTACCGCGATACAGTTCGAAAAATCTGATAACACACATACTTGTTAAGAACATTTATATATAGAAGTAAAAGGTTAACTAGACTAGTCTAGTCGATAGATAGTTCTGATAATCCTTGTCTTCCTTATTTATTTTTTAATATATATGGGTTCATAATCTCTCTGATAATTAATAATATTCACAAACCCATTATATCAATAATAACAATAAATTCAACTTCTAGGCTTAAATAAATACCAAATAAATGAGATATTCATTTTAATTGGTTGTTTTTATCAAATGAACAACTTTAAGAATCAAAGCAAATAGTAATAGTTCATGAGTCAGTTAAAGCTAGACCATCATGGAAAACCTGGAAGCAAAAGACAGCCAACTCGTCCTGGTATGGAAGTCCTCAGCAGTGCTCATCCACAATTCCAATCTCAGGACGTTTGATCTTGTGCGCGAGCACTTAACCTCTGAACAACTGAACCGGCATCCAACGGTGTTAATGTCTAACTTCAGCCAATTCGCAGTGAGGTAGTATCTCATTGAAGACAAGAGTGGACGGTGGCGCAATTCCATGGATCATTTGAAGCTAGACATCAACATCGTTGAATGCTGGCCGGCTCAGTGATCTAGAGGTTAATCATTCGGGAGATTGAGTGCAGTCTGCGGGATCGTAGATGTGCATTGCCGAAGAGTCCCATACCACGACGAAACGGCCGTCCAGTGCTTCCAGGTTTTCTACGGTGGTCTAGATTTGATCGACTCATGAATTAAACTATTAAATTACTACAATCTCCACAAATCCCCGATCCTGTTATCAATTGATTTGTTGCAATAAAGTAAATTATACCTGATAACAATTTATGTTTTTAAAGCAAACGTTTCCTATGAATGTAACTTTTCAGTTATAATTCATTGTGTCCTCTCTTTCTCTCTCCCTATATATATATATATATATATATATATATATATATATATATATATATATATATATATATATATATACGTAACATGAGTGTTATTGTATTGGTTTAAATTACAACATAATGAAACAAACTACCGAGAGGTAAGCAGTTAATAACCTTCTATTGGCATTAATGAAGACCAATGTTTTAGAATGTAAAATACACTTAAGTACTGTCAGAGTTTGGTACTTTTTAACAGTCTACAATTCCTTATACAACATGAAATGCATTTAATTCTCATTCTTTGTTTTACGAATTTTATTTTATTTAACAACATACAATCTAGGGCAGTGTTCAGCTCCTATGAAAATGTATAATTGACCGATCATTTTGATTGATGATAATTGTGATATCCGTGTTGTTTTTTAAAACTGATAGAACTGTGTCGATCAGGTCTCGATATGTCTACTAGTCTAAATGGTTCATCATAGATTACTACTCATTGATCAACAAATTTTAAATGTCTCAGTCCTTCAGGAATTTAGTTACTATCCCAATAGTACCTCCTTTTAATAAATAGTAATAGTTATGATCTTTAACAAGATATAATTTCTATGGAACAAAATGATCATCCTCGTTCTATTTCTTTTTAAAAACTATTTATGAATAAATAAATAACTTTTATCTTGTCATCTATCTTTTTTTCTTTCTTTCTCTCTTTACAAAAAATAGGTTTATGGGGATGTATGAATCTGAGATATTTAGATATGACCTCATGTCATTTAACTTCATCTATATTAACAGGATTAAATCATAATGAAATTCAACTTGGTGCTATTAATCCCTTAGAAACAACGAATACTTTATTGATTTATTTAAAAGAAAAGAATCTTTTCGATAAATTACAACCAACATTATTAGGTATCCCCAATTTACGTTTATTAAATTTAAGTGATAATCCTCAAATTTTTCATATTTTAACTTATCAATTCAATAGAAATGAATGGTGTTCTATACAAACGAATTTATATAATAAGGATTCATTACATAATCCATCTAAGAATGATCCTAGTGGTTATGGTTTATTACCAACTAATATTGAATATTTAAATTTACAAAAATGTAATATACATTTCATTCATGGTTTAACATTGATGAAACGTTTACATACACTTAATTTAAGTCAAAATCAAATTATAGATGATCAAGCTTTAATGTAAGTTTTCTTTTTTTTCCTTCTTTTTTCTTTTTTTTTGTTTGCAGTCTAAAAATCCCCATAGAATATTTGAGCGAGTAATTGTTTTCAATAACTTCATCATTGGGCTCTACAGTTATAAGTTTTTAATTATCGTGATATTTTACAAAGGCCCAAAATAAGGCATGTATTAATGAATGCTTCTGTGGAGCTAATTATATAGGTCATACTCAGAGGGCTTTATCCTTGCGTGTTCGTGAATATGTTGTACCACTATGGAGAACTACAAAAGCCATCATGCAGAAGATACAAGTGTTTCTTAATAGCTGTCTACGCAAAATACTTCTGATCCGTTGGCCAGATACTATGAGCAACAACCTACTTTGGGAGAGAACAAACCAGATTCAAGCAGAGGAAGAAATCAGGAAGAAGCGCTGAAAGTGGATAGGACATACATTGAGGAAAGCACCTAACTGCATCACAAGACCAGCCCTCACTTGAAATCCTTAAGGCAAAAGGAAAAGAGGAAGAACAAAGAACACATTACGGCGTGATATGGCAACAGATATGAGAAAAATGAACAAAAATTGGATAGACCTGTAAAGGAAGGCCCAATACAGAGTGGGTTGGAGAATGTTGGTCGGTGGCCTTTGCTCCATTGGGAGTAACAGACGTAAGATAAAGAAGGTGATATGATGAAATTCACCTACTATGCATTTTATTTACACAATTTTTTTTCTTGCATTTTCATTTTTGCTATAATACTATTCCACTGATTGTAACTGGACACTTTACTCCAAATCATTCGGACCTTTATTAAATGACCTTTCTAATTTGCAAATGGCATCATTTTGAAGTGTATATGTCGTAACAGATGCAAACATTCATCATTTCTAACATATAACATTGTCAAATTCATCAATACATATCTTATTTTGACCTTTGTATAATATCACAATCATTATGGACTTGTTACTGTAGAGCTTAATGATGAAGTTATTCAAAAACAATTGTTCCGCCAAATATTCTTCATTTTCTTTTTTTTATTTATTCAATATTTCTTTTTATTTTAATTTATTTATACTTTTTTTTCTTCTTTTGTTTTTGTAAATTGATTCAAGGCCACTTAAATCATTAACATCTTTACAAAATTTAAATTTAAAAAATAATCCAATTTGTGATCAGAATAATTATTTTGAAAGAATAATTTTTCAATTGAAGTATTTGAAAGTCTTGGATGATCGTCGAGTGTCAATAATCGATAAAGTAAGTGATTACTATATTATTATTGTGGTGAGGATGTTCACAATTGAACCGGCTTCCATTCTATCAGAGTGTAGTGTCGGTTACTATGTCAAGCTCACATAACTTATTGTAGCCTTTGGATAGGCCAATTTATCAATTCTTTTTAAGTCATATTTTGTCTTTTGTAATCATTCACTTATCAACCTTGACTGTTTTTATACGAGCGTATATGTGTATACATCGTATTCTACTCATCACATATCTGTAGCTTATTCTTGTGTGCCTATAAATATCGATCAACGCTTGATTAAATGGAGTTGGTTTACATACCTTCTCCATTGCACATCCTTTCGTTTCACTTCGTTCTCTGCTTTTTGTTTCTCTAATCTTTTGTTTCGATCAACGATTGTATGAAATATACGTATTCAAAAGTCTATTCTCTTCTTTCACTTATTTAATTCCGTTATTCATTAAAGCGGACTAAGTTGATAATTATCTACGAGGATTGGTGACATATATATTTCGACAGTAAACATTCATACGATTAAAATGGAGTCAGATTTCGGGCCACTAACTTCCTACAGCAATTTAAAATGCTACAGTTTATAACAATGAGTTAGTTAAATGGGCTGATATGTGAGTATAGCTTTACTAGTTCCCTGTTCATTTATAACTTACTCCCTAGTCATTTTGTTAATAGCCTGCAACGGCGTCCACAAAACAGCACCCTTCCTCTCCTGGTTAGCAGCGACACTAAATGTAGTAAACAATAACACGAGTGGGGACAATCGAGTGTATGTGACACGAAATTACAGAGCATCTCAATAAAATCCGATAACCATATAGCAAATAGTTAATTTGAAAAATATCAATCCATCGTACCAAATTTGACTGTTCCTTCGCAAATATCAGTCCATTATCTCAGATTTCATTGTTCATTCATTTTCATACAAATTGCGTTCTGTTCCCATTCTTTCCTTCTCGATCTTCGACTGAAATACATTCTATGCCTGACCACCGTTATGTACTACTTATGTGGATATAAGTAACCCACATCACACTATGATTACATGATTGAGTAACTTTTAAAAACTACAGATTAAAAATGCAAAGTTTGTCTGTAATATGATAGTATTATTACAAAAAGATGTATGGATTAAGTTCCAAACCTCGATCTGTGAAGTGCATATTGTAATTACTATAACATTATAAGCAAAGAAAGGGTACTCCGGTAAACTATACGACTGACAGCTTATAACTGTGTAGACAATAGTCGACAATTCGGACTATTAAATACTAAAATGGAGACATATACAATGAAAAACAATTTTTTAAATCAACAAACTAGAATTGGGAACAGTGACAATGAAATTGAAATAATAAACAAACGAAATATTATAAATTAATATTAATGTATAACAACATGCATGACATACTAGTTGCTTGAAAGTTTGTTGACTCGAAACTGGTTACTGAATATTAATAAGTAGCTTAAAACAGTTATACCTAGAAAAGTGTCAGATAAGTGGGACTTTATATGATCTATAAATTATACTCCACAGTAATAATAACAATAAAAATTTCAATATTATAACAAGACCGGCTGATAAACGCCATTTGTTGAATGTTTTCTATGAAGCAACTGAAATAGGGATCAATATTCTAAGCCATTGTGATAGGAATTTCAAAAAGATCGATATGTAAATAAGTATATTTAGTTACTTTGATCTTCATTTCTCCTTTTGAGATATAAATAAAATCATTTCGATTATAATCGATTTTTTCTTCTTCATTAATTTGTAGCAATTATGATTCCATTTGTTGAGTGCCAGTTTCCCGCTGTCATATTAAGTGAAAATTCATTTGTTTTCAGTTTCAAGAAGTAAGGATCGGAGGTTTAACGAACTGATATTAATCCTTGCAATTGATAACACTAACAAGCTTTCGGTGTATCAACAAACGTGTTGATATTACATGTTCTACTAGCAAGTTCCAGTACTTCACTACCCTTCGCGAGAAACGGAACTTCAGACGTAAAAGATTGGTTCTCGGTCTCTGAACTTTTTTAGAATGTCTTCTTAGATAATCAGTCCTAGATGGAAGGAAAAGATAAGACATATCAATACGAAGATCATCGTTCAGTATATCATAAATCAATGTTAGATCAAACCGCTACCTGATGTACGATAACGGAAATATGTCGATGTATCTCAGCCTGTTTTCATAAGATGGTCCAGAGAGTCTTTTTACCATTTTGGTCTCTCACCGTTGAACTTGTCTTAGCATATTCGCCTCATACTTGAAGCAAGGACTCACTGCTTGAATACTATATTCCAAATGCGGGCTTATGAGCGTCCGGCATAATACCCTAAACATTTCCTCGCCCAAGTACTGAAAAGATCTAACAATAATCCAGAAGATCATAAAGTCTTTGGCAGCCTTGCAGTTACTCATAGTTTTGAGATTACTACTTACTATGACTTCTAGATCTTTATAGTTCAGTACTTTAGATAACACAACTCCATATACTGTGTAGTGATATAAATCGTCTCAACTATTTAAGTGCATCATCGCACTTTTGTTTGAACTAACTTATGATCTCTAACAATGTCCATCGATTTATGTTGAGTTTTTTTTTAATGTCTTGTTTCTATTGCTATTTTCCTAGGTACGTTCAAATCTCTACTATGAACCTACATTAGAACAAGTAGCCAGAGAAGATCATCGAATTAATTTACTGCATCAATTTACAAAACCGCAACGATTAAGAGATTGGTAAATTCATCTTAATTAATTATTATAATAATTCCAATGGTTAAGATCATAAGTCAGTTGAAGCTAGACCACCATGGGTAACCTAGAAGCACTGGACGGCCGTCTCGTCCTATTGTGGGACTCCTCAGCAGCGCGCATCCACGACCTTGCCCCCTGCGAGATTCGAACCCAGGACCCACCGGCTTCGCGCGCGAGCACTTAACCACTGGACCACTGAACTAATTCACGGAACTGAACGACACGTCCACTATTGTCTCCAGTGAGTTACTGCCGAGGAGTCCCGCAATAAGACAAGACGGCCATCCAGTGCCTCCCGGTTTTCCATGGTGGTCTAGCTTCAATTGACTCATGATCTTAACCATTGAAATAGCTATAATATCCACAAAACCCATCTGATATTAATTATTATAAGTTTAGAAAATTTATGGAGATTGTTGAATTTTTGTGGTGAACACAGTTTACTGATTCTATTTCAACAATCATGCAATCTCGAAAACTGATTGAAGTTATATATAATATATATATATGTACTGTGGTTTACTTGCTCAATGGCCAGGAGGTTAAGTTCTCGTTGCGAGATCAAAGGTTCTTTGTTCGACCCCCTGTGAGATCATAAATGTGAACTGCTAAGGATTAGAAAATTTAGGACAAATAATTATATTTATCACTATTGTTAAGTGTTAAATTGTAGTTATAAATACAATTTAAATTATGCAATACATCGTATATAAATCTTTCCAACTTACAAAATAACTATTGACATCAACAAAACATATGCTCAAGATACCCATAAATGAACCAAAAATCCTCAATTTAAACTGAAACACCAATTATAAGAAATTTAAAACTGCAACAAGCACCGTTGTCAATTAAGTTAATGATTACGAAGGAATTTTTTTCAAAAAGTAAGAAGTATCCTGATAATTGGGTATGAAGTTAATCGTTCTCAGTCACTGGTAAAATGTTCACAAATGCTTGGTACCGTATAGATTTGGAACATTGAAAAACAAATGAGCTAAAAATTCACAGACATAATCAGAGTAACAATGAGTGTATGTAATCTTAATGTTTAGCTTTTTAGTATCAGTTGAAGTTGGACATTAACACCGTCGGATGCCGGCCGGCTTAGTGGTCTAGAGATTAAGCGTTCACGCGTGAGACCGATAGGTCCTGGGTTCGAGTCTCGTGAGCTAGTATCGTGGATGAGCACTTCTGAGAAGTCCCACAATAGGACGGAACGGCCGTCTAATGCTTCCAAGTTTTCTATGGTGGTCTAACATTCATCCATTCATAAGATCAATTCAAACTCAACAATGACCACAACCATATACTGATATGAATATTTATCGGATTTCACATTTATGCTAAAATGTATCAAAAATGTTAGTCTGAAACGAATGATTAATTATCTGACTTTATTTAAGATAACAACTTATGTGAATCAGTATTACAGTGTGTTTAATACACATGTTAGGTTTTCTTTAATAAAATGGAATGAGAAAGGGGTTTTGTGAATATTATAGTAATTTAACAGTTGGATTCATGCGTCAATTGAAACTAGACTACCATGAAAAACCTGGAGGCACTGGACGCCCATTTCGTCCTACCGCGGAACTCCTCAGGAGTGTGCATCCACTATCCCGCCCTGCGGGATTCGAATTCAGGACCTAACGATCTCGCGCGTGAATGCTTAACCTCTAGACCACGGAGTCAGAATCTGAAATGGAATCAAATCAATGGTTCTTAAATTTTTCGACAGACTAGTTTCATAATATTTTTAGATGTGAAATTCCAGTGAATTGATAATAAATCTTTGATATAAATCGAGATACAATACACATAACAGCTATGAATCACCATCTGAAAAATCCAATTCATCTTAGTAATGTCACGTTTTCACTCAGCACAATTTATCCAACATATATGAGTCTCTTATGTCCATTTCAAATCCCTTGATTGATCATTGTTTAAAAGATCTGTTAATTATAATAAAAAAACCAATAAACATTCAAGCTTGATTCAGATTTTAAATAAGAAAAGTAATGACTTAAACAATGTAACTGAATACTTCTGTAATCTTTAGTTAACATTTCAAAACTAATTAAACATTCTAATCAACAAAGTGAAATATATCATTCTGATGAAAAAAGTATAATTAATATTAGACAGTAATACGGATAGTGGAATCCATGATACACGTTTCGTCCTATTCCGGATTCGTCAGCTGGATGTACTGACATTCTAGAGTTGATGTTCACTCTAGGAAATATTGTAAAGTAGTATATCAGAAAATCAGAAAAAGTGATCATCATTATAATTTTTTTTAATCAGTGGCTTTTTTCATGTGCTCATTTGACTTATGTAATCAAACATTACTTATTTCTATTGTTACTGACATTTACTGGCCCCAGTAAAGTTACACAGTAGATTGATAATTGATTAGTTAATTTAGTAGTACCCTGGAACAGTGATTTTTAACATCCAATTTTTTTGACGTTATCACCTTTAATTATTGTGATCAGTCTGCCAACAAAAATTAATCTTAAACAGTTTAAAATAATTGTCCCTTAAAAGTGTAGTTTCCTTTCAAAAAGAAAAGAAAGATTTATCTTTATTACGTGTTTATTGAAATCATGAACCGATCAGTGTTAAGTCTGCTAGGGTTGACGCTATCACGAGTTCACTTAATCTGCGAACGAGAACAAAGACTCAGTGACCAAAGACCAGTAAGCTAGCTATTTGATGCGTCCCAGCTCCGCTAACTAGAAGGAGAAGTCTAAGCTTGGAATGGGGAAGTATATTCTGCAAACTGCCAGAACAAGCGATAACAACAAACATAATTCAGTACAGTACAAAACCGTCCTTGGGGAGAGTTACCAAATAGCATACTAAAAGACGCAACGGACCAATAGCATTTAAGATACTATCCAGTGGGAAATACGACATGAAGGTGACAAGAGCGCCTTTGGCGCGAAAACAAAGAAATTCAAATTTTCTAGATAGAATTACAAAATTAGGTGCTTCCTCAAGTGAGTTCTGGGGATCTAACGTCCCCAACAAGTTTACCATTGAAAATCGGAAAACACTGAATAGCCATTTCATTCTGTTATGGGAATCCTCAGTGAAATTCAATAATCTGTACAACCCTAGAATGGAAATTTATGGTATGTCGTTAAGGGATGGGTCTGTATTTTAATAACATGTAATTGAAATTTCGACCTATATGATTATTTACAAATTTTTCAGTAGTTTTACTTCAGAATGTATCATCTAATAAAATTGAAGTTTCATACTTTGATTTGAAACCTATCAAAGAAATATCTTTATTTGACTATCAGTACTGAATATTTCATCTCATTATTCATGGGAATTCCAATATTCTATTCTTGTTATAGAAAAAAAACCGTTCTACATTTGTTCTACTTGAATAAATTATCACACTACCAATATTCAATCATTGTTTTGTATCGTTTTATCAGTCAGTCAGTCAGTTACCTACAATGTAGGAACAGGCACATATATACATCGGTCCAAATTGCCATACCTCATTAGCACAACAAGATGAACACCGAATTCATAGAAGTAGTTAATTCAGTGGTGGTAATATATAAATGAAAGATTGCATATAAAGACAAAGTACAGGAAGGAAGAATTAGTTCGTAGAAAGAAAGATATGAAGCGATTTTAATCTCATAGTTTAAAGGAAGATAGAGAGTATGTACACCTACGCCATTATGATCGATTCTGAGCCATGTCACCTGAGAGTCTTCAACGATTGGTTACGATAGTCACACGAACCCTAACCAAGTAGTCTTAATCTACCAACATGGCTCAGACCAGAAGTTAGTGACTTCAAGCACTGATGCTACATTTTGATTTGGCCGCCCCTAACTTACTCCCATTCGTCTCCAACACTAGTCAGCATTGCGCGTCGTGGTAATCGATGTTCATACATAAATAACACGTCACCTAACCATTTCAGTCGATGAAAATTTACAATCTCATCAACTGATTTACAATTATTGAAAATATTTACTAACAGTTATGCTTTTAATCTATTTCTTTGTGTATTCATTTTTATTTGTTCGTACTAAAATGTTTCACAATTCCTTTTTTTTTCTATCAATAGTACTTTACCAAGTCTAGATACACCATATCCAATTCTTGCTATTATTGGACCAGCTGGTATTCATAAACGTCAATTAAGAAAATTATTATGTCAAAAATTAGATAATTATTTTGCACCACTTATATGTCATACAGATAGATTACCTAAATATAAACTAATAAAACAATTCAATTCTGTTCAACCAAAAGATTCATCTCATAATATAACAACCACCCAAACTCGATTAAACAATAATAATAATAATAATTCAATAGAGAATAAAATGTTATATGATTCTAATTCGGAAATTGATGGTATCGACTATTATTTTGTGAATACAGAAGTGTTTAATAAAAAACGAATTGATGGTGAATTTATTCAAACTGCTAAAATAATGGGTAAGTATTGTATAGTTTAAAATAATTGAACATAATTAAAAATTGATAAATAGGCACTAAATAAACTCATATATCAATAGGGGTTTTGTGGTAATTTCAATAGTTGAGATCATGAGTCAATTGAAGCTGAACCACTATGGAAAACCTGGAAGCACTGGACGGCCGTTTCGTCCTATTGTGGAACTCCTCATAAGTGTGCATTCACGACACCGACTCACGAGATTCCAACCCACGACTTACTGGTCTCGCGCGTGAGCGCTTAACCTCTAGACAACTGAGCCGGCCGGTATCCAACGGTGTTAATGTCTAACTTCAACTAATCCACGAAATTGAGCGACACATCCACCATTGTCTTCAGTGAGTTATTATCTCACAACTGACCCGGTTGAACTCCACTGGTCACTGCTTCTCACTAGAACTCCAGTCACTAGTGAGCATATGTTGATTATTATCAGAAGGGAGTTTTGTGGAGATTGTAGTAATTTCAATAGTTGAGATCATGAGATCGCGGATGAGCATGCTGAGGAAACCCCTACTAGGACGGAACGGCCGTCCAGTACTTCCAGGTTTTCCATAATAGTCTAACTTCAATTGACTCATGATTTCAACTATTTAAATTACTGCAGCCTCCACAAAATCCCTTCTGATACTAAAAACGAAATCGTAATTTCTTCTACACATTTTATTTAGGATATCAATATGGATTATCATGGGAAATACTAGAAAGTATCGCACGTCGTGGTTTAGCCGGTATTGTTGTTGGTGAATTAGAACTATTATATGGATTACGTTTAGCTGGACTAAAACCTCGATCTATTTTGTGTTTACCAAGTAATTTATATTATTATGAAAAAGGATTACGTGCTAATTTATCACAAATTCATTATACTCAATCTGGATTATTATGTAATAATGATAATATATTAGAAACATTATTAGAAAATTCAGAGAAATGGATAAATTGGTATATTCATAGAACTTCTCAATTATATCCACAAATACATCGTGATAATCCTGGATTATTTGATGCAGCATTATCTATTGATGATACACAAGAATTATTTCAACAATTACTTTTATTAATTTTTGACTATTTAGGTAAGTTAAAAGAATAAATGAATTACATATATTACTGTAGGTATCATTACCAAGGTTTGATTTGATAATTTCGAATAAATTGAGCATTGGGTTGATTGTTATAAATAAAAATAATATATTTGTAATATCCCAATGAGTAGGAAAAATTAGATTTTCCGACGTTTCGTGACTTAGTGTAAGTCACTTCTTCAGAGAATAAATAACCAAATTAAAATTAATCCAAGTTTAAATAGTACAACGGAACAATGCAAGAATAATATTGGATCAATCAAAAAGCAGGTCTAAACAAGTTGATGTCATGTCATTTCTGTCAAGGTGATTCATAAGTGATATGTATGTAAATTTGTGTGTATGTAGATGTGCATTGTTTAAGAATGAAAACTTGTGTGACCTTTATGGTAAGAAAGGATAGAATTTAAATTTGTAATATGATAGTGTGAAATTGTAAATACGATCAGACTGAATGGCTAGGATAGATGGTCCAAGTAGGATGTATGGTAAGGCCTTATTTTCTATTGAGAGAAGTAGGATTAAGCATTATATGGAACGCCTCAGCTACCCTCCTTTCTTTGTAGTTGGAAAAGCCTTTTTGCAATATTTTGATATTTTTAAAAAAATCGATTTGGTGGTGGTTGAAAATGCTGCCGATTTAATTTGAAGTTGGTTCAATTCTACAAGATTGTTAGGAGGTTTCTTTGTGTACCTAATATGTTCTTTGGCTCTAATCAAGATTTCGCGGGATGACTCTCCAATATAATAGGCATCACAATCGATACAACCTAATTTGTAGACACAGTTCTGCGTGGACATGAAAGGGATTTTTTCTTTCAGGCGAATTAAAGTATTACGTAGTGTGTTCATTGTTTTGTAATATACTTTAATTCTGTGATGTTTTAAGATTCTTTGGATTTTTTCTGTTGTGCCATCACGGTATGGTAGAACTGCAGTACCAATCCATGGCATTTCATTCGAATCATTATTATAACGTAATAAACTGTTTTGTTTTAATACGCTTCTAATAATATTCATAGGAAAATTATTAAATTGTAAGATGCTAATTACATTCATTTGTTCTTTTTGTTTGTCTTCCTCTGATGTGATCTTGTTAGCTCTTCTAAAAGGATTTAAGGCTAGCGAGATCTTAGCACTGAAAGGATGTGCTGAATGGAAGTCAATATAACGATTTGAGTGCGTCGTTTTTCGGTAAATGGATAGGTTTAGACTTCCATTTGGATTTCTTTTTACTAAGCAATCCAAGAATGGTAGCTCACCATGTACATTTTCATTGGTGAATTTAATGTGTGATGAAAGTGTATTTATTCGTTTAGAAAAAGATCTTAGATGAGTCTTTTTTATAACAACAAATGTATCGTGGTATAATGTTGTGGGCGAAGATATTTGATTCTATGTATGCCATAAAAAGGTTGGCTACAACGTGATATAGTTACAGACGTCCGGAAGAGGAGAAATTTTGACTCGCAAAAGAACGTTCTTACCTGCAACTTTGCGAAGTGTCCTCCAGCCGATCAATATTCAACAATAATCTGAAGGATAAATTATCTCACTTGACCAGTTCTATGTGCATTTGTCAATTCACCTATTTATTTGGAACCAGATGTATGGGTCATTCAATGCGTAGTTTGCCCAAAGAAATTCAAGGACATTACCTGTTTTAACCGAAAAGTGGTAAGAATGACTCAATAAGAAGTTTGATAATCAAACACTTTGTGAACTTATGTCACTCAATCAAAGTGGACTCTGAATTCAAAGTCATCTACAATGTAAGTAGAAGGCCGCCAAATGCAGTTGTATTCCATCTTCTTGACACTGCCGAAGCAACAGTTATATATCTATAAAAACCAGAATTATGTGTCCATAATAAACTGGTACAATCTCTTCTTCTACCATAGTCTTAATCTCTCATAGCTTTTTTTCTTCATACTTCTCCTTTCATAGCTATCCTCTTCCCTTCTATCTTCTCTATAAACCTTTTACATCCAACTGATTTGCTTCTATTTCTGTGATTCTTCTGATTACTATTCGTCTCAATTTCAACATTTTATCTTATAGTTCTAAACCACCTTTTCCCAATTATAATTTCCCTATCTCTCTTCATGATTAATATTCAAGGCCTTAACAAAAATGCTCTTATTAAATTCACTTGGTATTGTTTACTTGAATCTTCCTATGGATGTTTACGACTACAACTAATCAGTCTCTTATTGGCACATGTGCATATTGTGCGTATCGCCTCAATATTGCGTTAATTCACAAGCATTATAAACAAAGATGATTAGTGGCTAGCAGTGAAATCCAGGACGCGCGTTTCGTACTATTCGAAGCTGTTATTAGTTTTCCTAATAAAAATAACATCTAAATGCCTTTGTTTACTCTAACTCACTGTTACCATGTTTAACATAATTTTATTATCACTATTACTGTAACTATTATCATTTTGAAAAGTAAGTGTATATTTGCAACTGTACAGCTTTGAAAATGAACTTAAAATAATCCAAAAAACGTTGTTAAAATTACGTAGTAAGGAGTATGCAAACAATTAAATAGTGAAGCATATAAACGGAAGATGAGAAACGACAAGTAGATATAGAATGTAAAACAATTAGATCGTTTATTACGTCATATTCGGTCAATAAAGGGACGGGATTGTCACGGATTTCTTCTGAAAATATGAACTAGGATTACAGGTTCGAATCCCTATGGCTGCTGCTATATGTAGAGGGAGAAATTGGACCCAATCGGACAGCGAATAATGTATATGATAGAACATTCGAAATGATTTGGTTTCAATTACTATACGATCACTGTCAACCAGATGTGCAAAGATAGAGCTGCGTATTATATTTGTCTAGCTCTTCCCAAACAAATCTGAGAAATCTTTAGTCATCAGTAAATATGCACCTAAGTTACTCATGGAGGAAAGCGAAATCAATAGATTTCATTCATATTAATCGACCACTAAAATAACCCTCGATGTCACATTGTTTATTCCTTAGTGTTGAGAGAATTTCATTCATCAGGTTGCAATTTATCTACTTGTTTCAATTATCGTGCATAATGGTACGCATTTTTAAAAATCAGGTTGTCGAACAGATCCTGAATTTTATGATAGCTGATACTCTTTATCAAACTGAATCTCCTACCTTGATGATGGCTGAACTTCTTAATCAGCAGTGAGATGCTTGCACTAAGTGATTATTGAGTAGTTGATTTCACGTGATGTTGATTGCTGACAAAATAGCTTGGTGTTAATTTAGTGGGCTCCTTTATTTTGTCGTCATTTAGATCAGACGATGATGTTGAAAGGGCTCATCACTTTAGTGGCCCGAGATCTGACTCCAATTTGATCGAATGAATGATTGTTATTGAAATATATATGTCACCTATCCTCGTATATAATCATCAACTTAAATCGCGTTAGTCAATAACGGAATTAAATAAGTCAAATGACGAGAATGGACTTTTGAATACATAGATTTTGTATATGAAGCGAATGGAATAGAGAGGAGCAAAACGACGCACGGTGGAGATGGCGGGGAAGCCAACTCCATTTTAACCAAGCGTTAATCAATATTTATAGTCACAAAATTAAGCTACAGACATGTGGTGAATGGGATAAGAAGGGCACACACATATGCGCTCATATAAAAACAGTCAAGATTGGTAAGCGAATAATTAACAAGGTCAAAATATGACTCAATTGGAATGAATAGATTGGTCTGTCCGAAAGCTAGAATAAGGTATTTGGGCTTAACATAATAACCGACACTACAGTAATACTGAATGGATCTGATTCAAATGTTACGAAAGACCTCATTTTCCTTAGGATAACAGGTTATCGCCAATTACAAGTGTCACTTAACGAAAACTTAGGTCCAAAAATTCCTGCTAATTACCTCCAACCATCAAACAGACATATTTGGTTACTCCATTTGACATTTGTAGGTAAGAAATCCGTTTATCATATTAAGCTTTTAGCCAAAATTTTACTGTTTATACATTAAAGGTGAACGCTTTTAACTGAGTCCATCATCAAAGGTTATGAGAAACTAATAATATTCTACTATGGTAGAAAATTGATAACAAAACATTCAATCTGAAATAAACCACAAACGTTCACTAAATGAGCAAAAAAGTACATTCTAAAGGATTTTAAACGATTGAAAAATGCCGTGTTTAGGAATGCTGCCACATTCTACACTACTTTTATCATGTCTACTTAAAAGTGTTCGAAAATACCTGGAAATATAGCTGAATAGAATTAAGAATGAATTGCAACACGTACAGACTCAGTTCTAATATGGTGCAGTTGTAAATGAGCATAACCACTGATTTCATAACCGAATGAAATGGTCATTAGTTAGCATTTAGTTAATAGACTGAACTTCAAGACAGGTTTTTATTTATTTTAGTATATAGACTGTTATGTTTGTTTTTAATCCAAAATGTATTGTCACTGAAATAGACTCTTTTTTGGTGGGCCACTCTTCTACCAATATAAAGCAAATATCAAACTAACTTAAGTTTTAATTTTACCTATTTTGGTTACATTCCAGGTATAAATAGCTCCAATGAATTTCCTAATATCCAGATGAACGATAATGGTATTGCTGAAATATAAAGTGCCTCACAAATACATGGACTGTGATGAAATACGTTGAGATTATTTGATTCGCTCAATTATAAGCAAATAAAATTTGGAGACTTCGTCGTCTGAAATAGATCGGCTGTCTCGTCAATATCATATTTCATCAGCCCTTCTTTACAAGCATCATCTAAAATGAATACGTGATAAATTAAACAAATTCATTTTTTATTAAGCTATTCGTAACTTGCAGATACCTATTAACTTGATGATAAGATTTCTTTTATACATAGACTTCATGCTCGCTGATATTTATTGTCTAAGTAACCTTAACTTTAAGATTGGACGTTACTCTCATGAGTAAATGAGCGTCTATAATATTCGAATTATCGTATGAACTAGGAATTCCAGGATTAACGTAATTGAATTAAGAAGACACAGGCACAAACGAATGTATTGTATTTAGAATTCGAAACCGAGCATTCAACAAGTACCAATATATCATTAGTCCATTCAAACACCACATCCGCCACAGCTTGTATAGAAGCATAAGTGTTTGTAATCGGTTGTACGTCTTCTTGTTAAGTTCATCCTGAGTCTGTCCGACATTGTATAAGATAAAAACTTTGTAGTATCTAGAAAGTGCTCATTAGTATTGGAAGTAACAAACGAAATCGGAACAGACTCACCTGGAATTGTATACAATCAGCATATCGGTTTTGTACTGAAATCATTAATATCTAGAATTTGAACCATAGATTTTTCAACACTATCCTCCCACACGAAATAATGTTGGATCTTTATATCCCCAAGTTATGAATAATGTGGCTTCATTTAAAACATATTTCTCATATTGTTTAGAGTAAACATTAGAACTGTTTTTGTGATAAGGGTAAACAGCAGTTGATATGAAATCATCCGAAATGTAATAAAACTCGAGGTCACTTAGTACTCGTGCTTCGCATTGAGCAGGTTTTTCACAAGGATCAAATGCATTATGAGGATAGGTAATATATGATATGACATCAGGATTTGATTCTTCTGAAATATTCTCATGAAATTCATTAGGACTGTCATTGCAAAGCGTAGGATCGTTAGAAAAACCAGCATCTATCCAAACCACATCAGGTTTCCGATCATGATTAGGTTCATTTAACATATTTTCCTCAATATTGCAAGTAATTTCATTAGAAATATGTGAATCATTAGGAAAAGTCATACCTGGTACAATAGCATGAGAATTCTGATAAATCGGTTGATTAGGAACTGTTGTCTCACAACAATTCTGGATTCCATTTAACTCGGAACTGCCATATGACTCTGCACTGTCGGCGAGACTCTAATTTAGCGACGAGCCATTCAGAAGCGTTTGAGCAATTTCAAGGTCACGGAGCCAAGTTCAACACGCGATGCTAACGTACGTTCGGTTCACAGCGGATTTTAGAGAGGACGTGATTAATGAGAGGTTAAAACAGATGGGACGGTGAAACTTATTTAGAGACGAGCCAATGAGAAGCGTTTGAGCAATTTCAATTATTAGCCAATCAGAAGACAGTATAAAGTAAAAATATATTACAAGAAAGTAATGAATTACAGTGCATATTCTTCTTTTACATGATTTAAAAACTTGTTGAGGTTTGATAAAGGCTCAGAAGTTCTGAATTCATAATGCATATTGGATAGAAACTCGTGCATAGGGTTAGGGTTTAGGGTTAGGTTAAGGTATAGTGTTAGGGTTAGATTAGGGCTAAGGTTAGGATTTAGGGTTAGATTAGGGTTTAGGGTTAGGTTAAGGTTTAGGTTTAGATTAGGGTTTAGGGTTAGGGTGCTAACATGCGATCAATTTACATCGGATTTTAGAGAAGTGGTGTTTATTGATAGGCTACAACCCTTACCACTAACCCTATAGACGAGTTTCTATACCATATGCATTATGAATTCAGAGCCTCTGAACCTTTATCAAACCTTAACAAGTTTTGAAATCATAATAAAGAAGGATATCCACTGCAATTCATTACTTACCATATATTCTCACTTTATACTGTCTTCTGATTGGCTAATAATTGTCAAGGTCATTTAAGATCCGTTCAAAGGTCGCCGCTAAATTAGAGTCTCGCCGACTTAATATTAGTTGCAGTAAGATGAACATTAGCACTACAAACTGACTGAACTTGTCCAATATCACGACATTTGAAGCACTTAGAATTATGAAATTGACATGAATTAGAAGAGTGGAACTTGCAACAGGACAAACACTGATCAAACTTGTCCCCATCCTCGTGAACTGCATCCAAACTCAACGAATTGTCTGCATAATCTTGAGTATGAACTGGGTTGGGGTGACGTTATGTAGTGGACTTTTTTATATCCTCATGAATCATTTTACGAAATCTTCCTCGTTTACGACATTCGAAATTTGTATACTGAGCATAGTCTAGCAGCAGCTCCTTGAGAGCTGTATAAGAAAGCGAAATGGGCTTCCCGGCATAGCCAGAGTTCTTAATAAGCTGTATGTTTCTTTTTCAATGAATGTGAGGAAGTTTGCCACAATATTGACATCACCATCATCTTCCTTGGTCATAGCCCAGATTTCGAACCTTTCAAAGTAATCTTCAAAAGCTTCCGAAGTTGAATGAATACCTAACTTTTCCATTGCAGGCTTCATCGTGATGCCAATATAATATTCGAATTATCGTATGAACTAGGAATTCCAGGATTAACGTAATTGAATTAAGAAGACACAGGCACAAACAAATGTATTGTATTTGGAATTCGAAATCGAGCATTCAACAAGAACCAAGATATCATTAGTCCATTCAAACACCACAGCGTCGTTTAGTATTTCCACACGTCTTAAATGGGCAATTATTTGGTGATCACTTATCCGTAAAATTAGCTGGTGAAATGTAGTTTAATAGGAGATAAATTCAATAGGATTGTTAGCTTCTGTTGTACATAAATAGCTTCAAATTATTGCACAGATCCTAAAGTTCACCGAAATTTCATGGGAAATCACGGAATGTAAAGGCTTATTCGTATAAATCCCTACAGAAACACAATATTATCGGCATTAATTCCATGTTGACTGTTATGATTTTATAATATTCTAATTATAGTATGAACTAGGAATTCCAGGATTAATGCAATTGAACTAAGAAGACACAGGCACAAACGAATGTATTGTATTTAGAATTCGAAATCAAGTATTCAACCAGTACAAAGGTATCATTGGTTCATTCAAACACCACATCCGCCACAGCTTAAATTGGAGTCTAGGTGTTTATAATCAATCGTACGTCTTCTTCTCAAATTCATCCTGAGTCTGTCTGACATTGTATTGGATAAGGATTCTGTATTATCTAGAATATGCTCATTAGCATTAGAATTAACAATCGAAATTGGAACTGACTCACCTGGTTCCTGAAATTGTATTTGATCTACATGTCGACTGTGTGTACTTAAGTCATCGATGTCTAGAATTCGCACCATCGATTTTCCGACATTCTTCAGAACAATACCCGTAGATGGTCGAAAATCATTTCCTCGATAGTATGTAACCTCTGCAGACTCCAGACATCTCATATTCGACCGAAGAATTCTTCCTTTCAATAGCTTCGCTGGAGTCTCCTTCGTCACCGAATGTTTGGCATTTCTATATTGCAATAGAAAGGTATCTACTCCCCTCTCCAGCTCATTAAATGTTGAGGGGGCTATAGAATCAATAGCAGTCTTTAATGTCCTAACAAAATTCTCTGCCTGACCATTAGAACACGGATGTCTGGGAGCAGTAAATAGATGTTTGCACCCTATACCGTTCAACCAGGTAGTGACTGCATCTGCAGCAAAATGTGAGCCATTATCAGTCACCAACACCAAGGGAACACCTTCTCGACTAAACACCTTTCTTAATGCTTGTATTGTGAAATCAGAATTTGGTGAAGTTGTGAAAAAAACTTCAGGCCACTTTGAAAAAGAATCAATGACTACTAGTGCGTAGTATTTACCAAGAAATGGTCCACAATAGTCAGCATGAATCCTCTGCCAGGCCTCAGACGATACTGGCCATGGCACCCACTTCGAAGGATGGTTTTTCAACTGATGACATTTCTCACAACTGTTTGCCGTACGACATATATCTGCATTTATCTCTGCCCACCAGCATGTGAGCCTTGCCAAGGACTTCATTTTCTCAACACCTAAATGACCACTATGAAGATCTTCAAGAACAGATTTACGCAATGAAGGAGGAATGACAACACGATCGTTTAAACACAGAATACCATCAGGAGTAGTAGATAACTCATCCCGCTTTGAAAAATAGATAGGAAATCTCCGTTTCAAATTAGCATTCCAACCTTTCCTTATAGCACTGAGTATACATCCAAAATATCTACGAGTTTCTCTAATGAGATCTGAACGTCCCACTGGTAAAGGTTGCACTAACAAACAATCCGAAGTATTAATAGGTTTATCTTGTAATGACTGTCGAGAAATGTAATCAACATGTTGAATCTGTTTGGCACTTCTATGCTGAACCGTATAGTCATATGCACTCAAAGCAATACTCCATCGCTGAACCATAGCTGCTGAGGAACGTGCTAAGGATTTTCCGGGATGATAAATAAACTTTAAAGCTTCATGATCAGTAACAATAGTGAATTTCTTTCCGAATAAATATTTATGAAGTCTTTTAACAGCCCAAAACACAGCTAATGCTTCTCGCTGAGTCTGTGAATAACCTTGTTCAGTAACAGTAAGTTTGCGTGAAACACAAATAACTGGTCTACCTTCCTGTTCCAAAACTGCACCAATTCCCACAGGTGATGCATCAGTAATAAGCACAGAATGTACATTAGGGGAGTACGTTCGAAGAACAGCATCACTTTGAAGAAACTTCAGCAGACTTCGTAAGCATGACTCTTGTTCCTCACTCCATTTGAATGAATTGGATATTAAAATATTAAATAAACAATTTGCACGACAAGAAAAATTAGGAATAAAACGGGAATAGTATTGAAGAGCACCCACTAGTGAAC